GGCTACCTTGCTAGCTTCTTCCAGACACAAATGAGAGAACAGCTCACTCTGACCATTTTACTCGCCCTAGCAGAGCTGGTTAGGCTGTTTTTATGTTATCCAGAGCGTTGGTGACTGCAACTGTGCTACTGGCAACAATTTAATTACGCTTTTTTGCCAACGTTTACTGACACCGGCCATATTCAACGGGTGTTGAGCATTTGTAAATCCGTCAGTTATTCGGCGCACTAGCACACTCAGACTAGAGTGCTCTGAAATCGGAATAGATAGCCAGAGCGAATTTACCAGCTATGTCTGTTGACAGTTGTCGCAGTGACATCATAAACATTCTATTGAAATGGTTTCTTGCATAGTGGAGTCTTTTGTTTAGACATGTAGCTAGCTAGCTAAACAATGAACCATAATCCCACCTCATGACGTTACAAACCTGCATGAATCTGCAGGTAGCTAATCAACCAATTTCAATGTAAGCTAGCTAACATTAGGCTATAACTATCAATGCAAATGGCTTTGAGATACAGTGGGTAGAAAAAGTATTTGATACACTGCCGATTTTGCAGGTTTTCCTTCTTACAAAGCATGTAGAGGTCTGTAATTTTTATCATAGGTACACTTCAACTGTGAGAGACGGAATCTAAAACAAAAATCCAGAAAATCACATTGTATGATTTTTAAGTAATTCATGTGTATTTTATTGCATGAGATACGTATTTGATCACCTACCAACCAGTAAGAATTCCGGCTCTCACAGACCTGTTAGTGTTTCTTTAAGAAGCCCTCCTGTTCTCCACTCATTACCTGTATTAACTGCACCTGTTTGAACTCTTTACCGGTATAAAAGACACCTGTCCACACACTCAATCAAACAGACTCCAACCTCTCCACAATGGCCAAGACCAGAGAGCTGTGTAAGGACATCAGGGATACAATTGTAGAACTGCACAAGGCTGGGATGGGCTACAGGACAATAGGCAAGCAGCTTGGTGAGAAGGCAACAACTGTTGGCGCAATTATTAGAAAATGGAAGAAGTTCAAGATGACGGTCAATCACCCTCGGTCTGGGGCTCCATGCAAGATCTCACCTCAAGGGGCATCAATGATCATGAGGAAGGTGAGGGATCAGCCCAGAACTACATGGCAGGACCTGGTCAATGACCTGAAGAGAGCTGGGACCACAGTCTCAAAGAAAACCATTAGTAACACACTACGCCGTCATGGATTAAAATCCTGCAGCGCACGCAAGGTCCTCCTGCTCAAGCCAGCGCATGTCCAGGCTCATCTGAAGTTTGCCAATGACCATCTGGATGATCCAGAGGAGGAATGGGAGAAGGTCATGTGGTCTGATGAGACAAAAATAGAGCTTTTTGGTCTAAACTCCACTCGCCGTGTTTGGAGGAAGAAGAAGGATGAGTACAACCCCAAGAACACCATCCCAACTGTGAAGCATGGAGGTGGAAACATCATTCTTTGGGGATGCTTTTCTGCAAAGGGGACAGGACGACTGCACCGTATTGAGGGGAGGATGGATGGGGCCATGTATCGCGAGATCTTGGCCAACAACCTCCTTCCCTCAGTAAGAGCATTGAAGATGGGTCGTGGCTGGGTCTTCCAGCATGACAACGACCCGAAACACACAGCCAGGGCAACTAAGGAGTGGCTCCGTAAGAAGCATCTCAAGGTCCTGGAGTGGCCTAGCCAGTCTCCAGACCTGAACCCAATAGAAAATCTTTGGAGGGAGCTGAAAGTCCGTATTGCCCAGCGAAAGCCCCGAAACCTGAAGGATCTGGAGAAGGTCTGTATGGAGAAGTGGGCCAAAATCCCTGCTGCAGTGTGGGCAAACCTGGTCAAGACCTACAGGAAACGTATGATCTCTGTAATTGCAAACAAATGTTTCTGTACCAAATATTAAGTTCTGCATTTCTGATGTATCAAATACTTATGTCATGCAATAAAATGCAAATTAATTACTTAAAAATCATACAATGTGATTTTCTGGATTTTTGTTTTAGATTCCGTCTCTCACAGTTGAAGTGTACCTATGATAAAAATTACAGACCTCTACATGCTTTGTAAGTAGGAAACCCTGCAAAATCGGCAGTGTATCAAATACTTGTTCTCCCCACTGTACGATTTCTGGCCAAAAACGCATGTTGATAAAAAAAAGAAGTTGATATTCAAATGGATCTCCTGTGAAGTAGTGACACACGACATAAGGCTAGTTTTCTGAAATGAGACATGTGTAGACACTGGTTTGGTGCAGGAGACAAGTGGTGGAGTTGTCCTTTAAGTTCATGTTTTAAGTAACCCTACACTTCTTTTTTATGCTGGTGTCCCTCTCTTATTAGTGCATCTGCACAGAAATTACTGTCATTTTTCAACCGGGGCGGAGTGGAATGGCCTCTATGTACTGTGCTGACACTGTGAAGTAAACATTGTTCAACTGGAACCTATTTGTTCTGTCATTTGGAGTTAACTATTGCAACATGCTAAGATATTTACAGTAACGACACAGTAAAGCTGGGACAATGACCTTCCTAACTCTGTGGAATTAGTATGATATAAACATTATACTGCTTTAATTCATAAATATCTCTTCTTGTATGGCTTTCTTCCTCCACAATCACTGATAGGGTAATAATAGAACCAGAATGTCATCACTGATAGGGTAATAATAGAACCAGAATGTCATCACTGATAGGGTTATAATAGAACCATAATGTCATCACTGATAGGGTTATAATAGAACCAGAATGTCATCACTGATAGGGTAATAATAGAACCAGAATGTCATCACTGATAGGGTATAAACGACCAGAATGTCATCACTGATAGGGTAATAATACAACCAGAATGTCATCACTGATAGGGTAATAATAGAACCAGAATGTCATCACTGATAGGGTTATAATAGAACCAGAATGTCATCACTGATAGGGTAATAATAGAACCAGAATGTCATCACTGATAGGGTAATAATAGAACCAGAATGTCATCACTGATAGGGTAATAATAGAACCAGAATGTCATCACTGATAGGGTAATAATAGAACCAGAATGTCATCACTGATAGGGTAATAATAGAACCAGAATGTCATCACTGATAGGGTAATAATAGAACCAGAATGTCATCACTGATAGGGTTATAATAGAACCAGAATGTCATCACTGATAGGGTTATAATAGAACCATAATTTCATCACTGATAGGGTAATAATAGAACCAGAATGTCATCACTGATAGGGTTATAATAGAACCAGAATGTCATCACTGATAGGGTAATAATAGAACCAGAATGTATGTACCATTTGAATGTCACAAAATGTTTTATCTTTTCATAGTCTATTTGCCCCAAATATCTTAGAATGAAACATAGACCCAAAACTACAACATACTTTATTGATTCATGTGAATGGTTCATTGGGGTGATTTTTACATAAGGTATGATTATATGTTTCATAGATGGTGGTGTATAACCAGGATACTACTGGGTCATGGTCCTGTCTGGTACTGGCTGTAGTGGGAGATGGTGGTGTATAACCAGGCTTCTACTGGGTCATGGTCCTGTCTGGTACTGGCTGTAGTGGGAGATGGTGGTGTATAACCAGGCTTCTACTGGGTCATGGTCCTGTCTGGTACTGGCTGTAGTGGGAGATGGTGGTGTATAACCAGGCTTCTACTGGGTCATGGTCCTGTCTGGTACTGGCTGTAGTGGGAGATGGTGGTGTATAACCAGGCTTCTACTGGGTCATGGTCCTGTCTGGTACTGGCTGTAGTGGGAGATGGTGGTGTATAACCAGGCTTCTACTGGGTCATGGTTCTGTCTATCCACTGGCTGTAGTGGGAGATGGTGGTGTATAAACCAGGCTTCTTGCTGGATCCACACTTCTTCCCTCCATTTGAAGTGATCCCAACTGCAACACCATTATACAGGAGAGGACCTCCAGAATCCCCCTGAGGGATTACACAAACACACACACACACACACACACACACACACACACACACACACACACACACACACACACACACACACAAACACACACACTCAAACACACACACAAACACACACACACACACACACAAACACACACACACACACACACACACAGAAACACACACACACACACACACACACACACACACACAGACGCAGAAACACACACACACACAAACACACAAACACAAACACACACACACACACACACACAAACACACACACACACACACACACAAACACACACACACAAACACACACACACAAACACACACACTCAAACACACACAAACACACACACACAAACACACACACTCAAACGTTAGCAACAATATGAAGATTCCTCAGACCACTAAAGGTTATTTCTGTCATTATAAATATATTTTAATTAATCCTTATTTCATAACGTATGTTCACTGAGAACACATTCTCATTTACAGCAACGACCTGGGAAATAGTTCCAGGGGACAGGAGGGGGAATGAATGAGCCAATTATAATGTCAGTAGACAATATTGAGGAATATTGGTTATTTCTGTCTATCCATACATCAACAGGCATTTATCGATGGAAGATGTAGACATATTAATGTAATTAGAACATGTAGACATATTAATGTAATTAGAACATGTAGACATATTAATGTAATTAGAACATGTAGACATATTAATGTAATTACAACATGTAGACATATTAATGTAAATACAACATGTAGACATATTAATGTAATTAGAACATGTAGACATATTAATGTAATTAGAACATGTAGACATATTAATGTAATTAGAACATGTAGACATATTAATGAAATTACAACATGTAGACATATTAATGTAATTACAACATGTAGACATATTAATGTAAATACAACATGTAGACATATTAATGTAAATACAACATGTAGAAATATTAATGTAATTAGAACATGTAGACATATTGAAGATCTGGTGGACGTATATTTTTACAGTCTACATTATATTACGTAATATTATGTGGTAGACTTACATCACAGGTGTCGCTGCGTGTGCTGGCAGCACACAGCATGTTGTTGGTGAACTTCCTGCCATAGTAGTCACTGCGGCCGCATCGAACACGGTTCATCACAGCGATGTTCAGTTCCTGTAGCTTGTCAGGTCGTGACCCCAGGTTGTTCAGTGACCCCCACCCCGCCGTGTTGACTTCCTGGTCCGTGTCTGGGTCAGCTGCACCGTCACGCTGGAACTTCAGGGACTTTACAGCATCACTGGCCACGATTGGCCGGTCCAGCTGCCAATCATAGATAAAAAAATGTTTTGGTCTGAGGCAAGAGAACATGTAGTGTGTTCCCCAAATGGCACCCTACTTCCTATATAGTGCTCTACTTTGGACCAAAAAAGGAGTCAAAGTGGTCCAAAGTAGTGCACGGTGACGGTAATAGGGTACCAATTGGGAGGCAAACCACAAGCTGGTCTTAAAACCAACTGTTGGAGTTGGGTTGCACTGACCTGACAGTACAAGGAGACTGACACAGAGGAGAGACACAGAGAGACACAGAGGGGAGACTGGCATGTGACTTACCTTGACCAAAGCAATGTCATTATCATAGTTAGAGATGCTGAAATCAGGGTGACTGAACACTTGAACAATGTCAAAAGTTTGTTTAGAATCCTCTGGTTCGTTCAGAGAGTGAGCCCCTAGGACGACCTTCCTCCCTTCTGACCTGTCAATCAAAACAAACAGCACAAACAAATATCAGTTACAACAACTGATGATGATGATGATGATGATGGTGATCATGATGGTGATGATGATGATGTTGTTGATATAGACTGCTCTGACCAGTGAATAATTTCATCAGCTTCAACTTCATAAACATTTTAAATAGGTCGGCAAATTAATAATGTGTTGCAAAATGCAGTTCATATAATGTATGCATCAGTTTGACTGGACAATTGGAGCATCATTTTATTTTCAAATTTTCCATTTACTGTAATTGATTGTGCATATACTGTGAACTTGTACTACGGTAAAATGTTCTTATAATACCGGTAGCGTAGAAACATGATAACCTCCACTACAGGCGAACTCACCCAGAGAGAAAGCAGTGTGCTACACTACAGGCGAACTCACCCAGAGAGAAAGCAGTGGGCGGCACTCATCACCCACTGATCAGCCACCAGAAACCCTCCGCACTCATGTTTCATCCTGCCGCCGTCGGCGACCTGCAGCGAGGCCATGTAGGGACGGGAGTGGGCCTCCGCCTCTCGCCCGCCGGTGATAGCATCACCTGAACATAGGCCGCAGATAGAGAATCATAAATCTGGATCTAAACATGTCGATAGGTGCATAGATATCTTTGATCTGATAGCGTTTTAGGAACAGGCAATTCAGTCATAGAAAATCAGAACAGAAATCGGCCTAAGGGTTCTTCAAAAAAGTCTAATGGTAATTCATAGGCGACCAAATAATTCAAATCAATTCAAAAGAGTTTGCAGAGAGATTTTGTTTGTTTGGCTTTGGAACCGTCATGCCAATAAACACCTGAAAGCAAGTAGAATGCAGTGTAGGTCATATTTTCTTATTGAGAAAAGCCATTATTGTAGAAGAATACACTTACTGCATGAAAAGACAGCCAGCAGAGCAGCAGTCAGGAACAACCCTCTCTCACAGCCCATGGTGTCAGTCTGTCTGGTTACTGGGTCTCTCAGAGAAGAGAACACACAGTATTATTCTGAACATAGAAAGGGAGGAAATCTATAAATCAGCCAAGTTGGCGCAGAGGCGAGGGGAGGACATGTCTCCAACATTCCCATAACTCCGACATGAAAAACAGGAAAGGAGATTGTTCTCAGTTCTCACACTTTCTCTTTTAGAATTAGTTGTCTAGGGTTTCATGTTCATTAAGTTTCAACATCTTTTTTTTGCTCGAACGTAAAACCAAATAGTCAAATAAAAACAGCAACTCAGCCAACCTAATGATACAGATTAAAAACAGCAAACTCAGCCAACCTTCAAACAAACCAGATTAATAGGAACATTTCTCAAGGAGGGTCTCTGAATATGTCATGTACTTTCTGCCAGTAAACTCATAACCCAGTCGGTTTTCTACCCCCTTAAATGGCCATTTTCTTTTTGAATGGTGACGGGGCTTGGAACCCCCTGTAAAGTTTTATTAGAACCCCCTTGACCCCCCTTTTTTGGGGAAAAAACCCAGGGGAAATAACCTTTTTCCCCCGTACCCCCATCAAATGGACCCCTTTACAACCATGCAATGAAAAAATGAAACAAAATAAAAAAAATTGGTAACCCATGTAATAACCATGTTTTAAAAAAAATGTAATTTTAAATAGCCTTTGGGCACTTGAAGGGGCCAATTTTAATTTTCCAAATTTTTTCCCATATTTGGCCCCTGAAAACAAAAGGGAATTTTTCGTTTTTTTCAACCAACCTGGCCCCTTCCTAAAAACCAAAGGACGGGAAAATCCCGAAAGGGGCCAAAGCCCCCCCTTCAAACCCGGACAGGGCTCTAGTACGGTAACCCCCGGGTTTGGTTTTTTAAACCCTTTCCCCCAAAGCCCCCTTCCATCGCCGGGGCTTACTCACCCCCCCTTTTAAGGGGTTAACCCTTTCCCCTCGGGATCGAAAAGATTGGACCCCTTTAATCCTTTTCAAAGAACCCCCTGCCCAACCTTTCCTGACTTGGTTTCCCCTTTCACCCCTGTAGGGAAAATCTTGGGTCCCCCGAAAAACCCAATTTTTCCCCGAGGGTAAGGCATACCCCGTAATCCAGGGGCCAACCTCCCCCTGCCCCAAAACCGGGACCCTTCCGGGGGGTGGGGGGGCCCCAAAAAATTTTTCAAACCCAAACCCCCAATTCAATTAGACTTTAACCCCCTGAAAACCCAGGGAAAAATGTCCCCCTGCCCAATTGGAATAAACGGACCCCTGAAACCCCTTTTACCCCTTTTAAAAACCCTTCAAATCAAATCAAAGGGTTCCCCCTTTTCACCCCCTTTTTTCCCCCTTTTCCCCCCTAATTTTTAAAACGGAACCCTTATTACCTTTTTCCCCTGGTCCCCCTGAAAATCGACTCAAGAAACGGTTTACTCCCTGTATAACGGGGGCCATGTTTTCCCCTTAGGGAAACCCCTGAAAATTTGCTCAACGGGTTACCCCCTTTATTTTGCCATTTTTTACCTGTCCCCCTTTTACTCGACTCAGTACTGGTATTTCCCTGAAATAACCTGTTTTCCCCCTGGTACCCCTGCACATCGCTCAGAAACGGGTTTACCCCCCTGTATAAAGCCTGTTTTCCCCCTCAACCCCTGCAATGACTATTTACGGGTTTTATTTTCCCGTAATACCTTTGTATTACCTGTCCCCTTTTAATTGACTCTTACGGAACCCCCCTGATATACCCAATGTTTTTCCCCCCCTCTTCCCCCCGGGCCAACAAACTCATTTATGGAAACCCCCGTTTTTTCCCATTTTTTTCCCCCCTTTTCCCCCCTGCACATCGACCCCAAATACTGGTACCCCCTTATACACCCAGTTCTTACCTCTCCCCCCTGCCATCCACTCATTTCCTGGTACTCCCTTTCCCGCCTTTGTTCTTCCCTTGTCCCCTTTTTAACGACTCGTACTGGTACTCCCCTGTTAACCCAGGGTTCTTCCCCCTCGTACCCCTGCAAAATCGCCCTAAGTCGGGTTAATCCCTGTATAACCATTTTTCCCTTCCCTTTGTCCCCTTTTACCGACCCCGTACTGGTACCCCCCTGTATAACCTTGTTCTTCCCTGTCCCTTTTTAATCGACTCAGTATTTGGTATTTCCCTGTATAAAACCCCTTTATTACCTGGTCCCCCCTGAACCCACTCAGTATGGTACTCCCGGGTATATAGCCATGTTTTACCTGGGGGAAAAAATTTGCACACGGGTTTTTGGTAAGGGTTTATTCCCTTTTTATACGCCTTTTTGTTTTTAAAATTTTACCCCCTTTTTTTTAATCAATCAAAATTTGGTAATTCCCTTTTTTAATCGGCCTTTGTTCTTTCTTTTTAATCTTATATGATTCAGTACGGGTTTAACCCCCTGTATTTTGGGGCCATTTTCCTTTTTAAAAAAACCCGGACTTTTGATTGGCCGGTATTTTTTCCCTTTTATAAAGCCTTTTTGTTTTTTTTAAATCGTATAAATTAATTCAGATTTTTTTAACCCCTGTTTTTAGTTTTGTTCTTACCTTTTTTAACCCGGACTTTAACCGTTATTTTTTAACCCCTGTATAAAAGGGGCCATGTTTTTTAATTTCGCCCCCTTAATTTCGATAGCGGGTTTTTAACTGTATCAAGTTGGGCTATTCTTTTTTAAAACCCATCAAAATTTGGCTTGATTTGGCCTTTTTTTAAATTTTTCCCCCCTTTAAGGTATTTCGGGTTTTCCCTGTATATTCGGCCATTTTTTTTTAAAATGGGTATAAATTAAATTCAGTACGGTTTTTAACTGTATCAATTTTTCCTAGGCCCCTGACATAATTCAGTTTTTTTTTTTAACCCCTGAAATTTTAGATGTGATTCCTTTTTTAAAACTGAACCCCATAGATTGGTTACCCCCCCTGTTTTTTTAAATCCCTGATCAATTGATTGGGATTCCCTTTTTTTAAAACCCATCATTGAGGGTTTTTGTTTTTTAAATCTGCTTTGTTTGGGAAAAAGGGGGTTTTTTCCGGTACATTAGTGGGTGAGGTTCCCTTTTTTAATTTTATAAAATTGTTGTCTATTGTTTTTTTAAATTTTATTTTAAATTGGCCCAATTTTGTTTTTTAATCTGTTTTCCTTAGATTGGCAAGAAAAGGCTTTTTTTTTAATCTGTATCATTAGTTTTGGGCTAAAGGTGCTGTTTTTAATCTTATTAGTTGGTGAGGGCTTTTTTTAATCTGTATCATTAGATTGGGGGATTTGCTTTTTTTAAATCTGTATCTTTAATTGGCGGATTTGCTTTTTTTTTAAATCGGTTCTTTAGTTTGGGCCCTAAAGAGCTTTTTTTAATTGTTTTCATTAGTTTGGCGGAGTTGCTTTTTTTAAAAATCTGATCATTAAATTGGTTTGAGTGGCTGTTTTTTTGGTATAATTTAGATTGGCTGAGTACTTTTTTTTTTAATTGTATCTTTAATTTTTGGCTGATTGCTTTTTTTAAATTTGTACCCTTGGGTTGGCTGATTTTGGCTTTTTTTAATCTGTATCATTAGTTTGGCTGAGTTGCTTTTTTTAAATCTGTACATTAATTGGTGAGTACTTTTTTTTAATTGTATCTTAGTTTGGGTTTTGGTCTTTTTTTTAAATCTGTATCATTAGTTTGGGCTGGGGTTGCTTTTTTAAATTTCAAAATCTTTTAGATTGGCTATTGCTTTTTTTTAACTTACCCTTAGATTTGCTGAGTTCCCTTTTTTTAATCTGATCATTATTGGGCGGGTTTGCTGTTTTAATCTGTATAAATTAAAGGTTTGGGGCTGAGGCTGTTTTTTAATCTGATCATTAGTTTGGCGATTTGGCTGTTTTTAATCTGTATCAAAATTTTGGCTGATTTCCCTTTTTTTAATTTGGTTTCATTAGTTTGGCCCTGAGTAGATTTTTTTTAAATTTTTATCTAGAGGGTTTGATTTGCTGTTTTTAATCTTTATCTTAGTTTTCCCTGATTTTTGCTTTTTTTTAATCTGTATATAAGTTTGGGGTTTGGTAGCTTTTTTTAATCGTTCATTAGATTGGTGATTTGTTTTTTTTGAGTTGGGGCGGGTTTTTTAACTGTATCATTAGATTGGCTGATTTGCTGTTTTAATCTTTTATCTTTAGATTGGTTTGGTGCTTTTTTTTTAATCTTATCTTAGATGGCTGAGGTTTTTTTAATCTGTATCTTTAGATTGGCTGATTTGGGCTTTTTTTTAACTGTTCTTTTAGTTTGGGCCCGGGGTTCTGTTTTTAATCTTTTCATTAGTTTGGCGGGAGTTGCTTTTTTTAATCTGTATCTTTTAGATTGGTTTTTTCCTGTTTTTAATCTGTTATTAAAAATTTTGGCTGAGTGGGCGTTTTTAATCTGTATCATTAGATTTGGCTGATTTGCTTTTTTTAAAATCTTTTCATTAGATTGGTGATTTGCTTTTTTTAAATTTCTGTATCTTTAGTTTGGGGGGCCTGATTTTTAAGTTTGGTTTTTTTTTAATCTGTATCTTTAAATTTGGTGAGTGGGCTTTTTTTAATCTGTATCATTAGATTGGTGAGTGCTTTTTTTTTAATCTTTTATCTTTTTAGTTTGGCGATTTGCTTTTTTAAAAATCTAAATCATTAGATTGGCGATTTGCTTTTTTTTAATCTGTATCTTTAAAATTGGCTGAGTGGTTTTTTTTTAAACGTATCTTTAGATTGGCTAGTAGCTTTTTTTAATCTTATCATTAGTTTGGCTGAGTGCTTTTTTTAATCTGTATCTTTAGTTGGCTGATTTTGCTTTTTTAAAATGGGGGTATCATTAATTGGCTGATTTATTTTTTTTTAATCGTATCATTAGTTTGGTTGATTTGGGTTTTTTTTAATCTGTATCTTAGATTGGCTGAGTTCCCTTTTTTTAAAATTGAATCTTTAGATTTTTCGAGTTCCCTGTTTTTAATCGGGATAAATTAGTTTGGGCTAAATTTGCTGTTTTTTAATCGGGTTCTTTGGGATTGGTGATTTACTTTTTTAAATTTGTATCATTGTTTGGCGAGTAGCTGTTTTTAATTTTGTATAAATTAGTTTTTGGCTGATTTTGCTGTTTTTAATCTGATCTTTAGATTGGCGGGAATTACCTTTTTTTTAATCTGTATCATTAGATTGGCTGAGTTGCTGTTTTTAATCTGTATCATTAGATTGGCTGAGTTGCTGTTTTTAATCTGTATCATTAGATTGGCTGAGTTGCTGTTTTTAATCGGGGTCAAAAATTTTGGGATTTCTTTTTTTAATCGGGTTCTTTAGATTGGCTGAGTAGCTTTTTTTTAATTTTTGTATCATTAAGTTTGGGGCCTGGTACGTTTTTAATCTTATCAAAATTTTTTGGCTGAGTTCCCTTTTTTAATCTGTTCATTAGAGGGGCCGGGTTTCGGTTTTTAATCTGTTTTAGAATTGGCTGATTTGCTTTTTTTAATCGGGTTTCTTTAAAGATTGGCTGATTTGCTTTTTTTAAAAATTTTTGTATAAAATTGGATTGGCTGATAGCGGTTTTTAATCTGTTCTTTGTTTGGGCTGATTTGCTGTTTTTAATCTGTATCATTAGATTGGTGAGAAAGGGTTTTTAATTGAAAACCCTTAGATTGGCTGAGTAGCTTTTTTTAAAATTTTGTACTTTAAAGTTTGGGCTGGTAGCTTTTTTTTTAATCTGTTCATTAGTTTGGGGCGGGTTTGTGTTTTTTAATCTGTATCATTAGTTTGGCTGATACCCTTTTTAATCTTTAAAATCATTAGATTGGTTAGCTTTTTTTAATCTGTATAATTAGATTGGTGAGAAACTGTTTTTAATCGGTATCTTTAGATTGGCTGAGTAAACCGTTTTTAATCGGGTATCATTAGTTGGCTGATTTTTGCTTTTTTTGGGGGGGTTTTAATTATATTGGTTTAAGTAGCTTTTTTTTAATCTGTATAAATTAGTTTGGGCTAGTAGCTTTTTTTAAAATCTGTACATTAGTTGGTGAGTTGCTGTTTTTCATCTGTATCTTTAGTTTGGGTTGATTTGTTTGTTTTTCATCTGAAATCATTAGGGGGGCGGGGAGTAGCTGTTTTTAATCTGTGTCATTAGATTGGCTGAGTAGCTGTTTTTAATCTGTATCATTAGATTGGCTGAGTAGCTGTTTTTAATCTGTATTCACCGGGAAGAGGATCATTTTCCCTCTTCTCTTGCAGAATTTTTTTCTTTTTCCCCTGTACCCTCTTCAGTGTAAACTGTAAACGATCGTTTTAATAGGGGGGAAACCAAGGCCAGCTTTTAGACTTACAAAAACCCGGGCTAAACCCATATTGGGCCCCCAGAGCCAGGGGTGCCCTAAACGTTAAAGTTTAAACAGATTAGGGGGTTTACAACACTTCGATTTGAAATGACCCTTAGGACGTTTTTGGGGCCCTACGCGACCCGTTTAAACATAAAAAAACATAAAAACATATAACATAAAACCCCACTTTTAACCATTTTTTAAAAACCCATAATAACATTAAAAAACCCCCGGGAAACCCCCAAACCCCCCCTTTTAAACCTAAACAATAACACAAACTTTTAATAACATATAACATATAAACAAAAAAAAATAACATATAACCCCTAAAAAACATAAAAATTACCACATAAACAAAAATAACATATAACAATAAACATAACACATAAAAACATAACATTAAAAAACTATAAAAATAAAAAAAAATAAAAAACATAAACATATAAAAAAAATAACACATAAAAAACATAAACACATAAAAATAAACATATATAAGATAATTTAATAAAACAGGGTTTCCATTGAAAAGGTATAAATGTATGTATTAAGCCTGAAAAACCCGAACTTTTTTCTTCTTTTAATTATTTAAATATTTGGTTTTACATTCGGGGAAAAAAAAATGTTGAAACTTAATGAACAAAAACCCGAAACTAATTCAAAAAGGGAAAAAGTGTGAGAATTGAAAAACAACCCCTTTTCCCCCCTTTTTTTTCATGTCGGAGTTTTGGGGAATGTGGAGACATGTCCCCCCCCTCGCCCCCAGCGCCAATTGGCTGTTTTGTTTTCCCTCCCTTTTCCCTTTTTTTTTTTTTCAGAATAATACTGTTTGTTCTTTTTCTTGAGAAAACCCATAACCAACGGACTGAAAACCAGGGTTTTGTGGAGGGGGGGGTTTTTCCTTTGACTGCTCTTGCTGGCTTTTTTTTAGGAATTTCTTCTAAAAAAGGGGTTTTTCCCTCAATAAGAAAATATGCCTACATTTGCATTCTATTTGGGTTTTCCGGTGTTTTTTGGAGGAGGGTTTTTCCAAACCAAAAACAAAAAAAATCTCTTGAAAAACTCTTTTGAATTGATTTGAATATTTGGTCGCCTTTAATTTAACCATTAGTTTTTTTTGAAGAACCCTTGGGCCGTTTCTGTTCTGATTTTCTAGGGACTGAATTGCCTGTTCCTAAAACGCTATCAGATCAAAGATACCCTATCCCAACCCTATCAAACATGTTTAGATCCAGATTTATGATTCTCTATCTGCGGCCTATGTTCAGGTGATGCTATCACCGGCGGGCGAGAGGCGGAGGCCCACTCCCGTCCCTACATGGCCTCGCTGCAGGTCGCCGACGGCGGCAGGATGAAACATGAGTGCGGAGGGTTTCTGGTGGCTGATCAGTGGGTGATGAGTGCCGCACACTGCTTTCTCTCTGGGTGAGTTCGCCTGTAGTGTAGCACACTGCTTTCTCTCTGGGTGAGTTCGCCTGTAGTGGAGGTTATCATGTTTCTACGCTACCGGTATTATAAGACATTTTACCGTAGTACAAGTTTCACAGTATATGCACAATAAATTACAGTAAATGGAAAATTTGAAAATAAAATGATGCTCCAATTGTCCAGTCAAACTGATGCATACATTATATGAACTGCATTTTGCAACACATTATTAATTTGCCGACCTATTTAAAATGTTTATGAAGTTGAAGCTGATGAAATTATTCACTGGTCAGGGCAGTCTATATCAACAACATCATCATCATCATCATCATCACCATCATCATCATCATCAGTTGTTGTAACTGATATTTGTTTGTGCTGTTTGTTTTGATTGACAGGGCAGAAGGGAGGAAGGTCGTCCTAGGGGCTCACTCTCTGAACGAACCAGAGGATTCTAAACAAACTTTTGACATTGTTCAAGTGTTCAGTCACCCTGATTTCAGCATCTCTAACTATGATAATGACATTGCTTTGGTCAAGGTAAGTTCCATACCAGTCTCCCCTCTGTGTCTCTCTGTGTCTCCTCTGTGTCAGTCTTCCTTGTACTGTCAGGTCAGTGCAACCCAACTCCAACAGTTGGTTTTAAGACCAGCTTGTGGTTTGCCTCCCAATTGGTACCCGATTACCGTCACCGTGCACTACTTTGGACCACTTTGACTCTTTTTTGGTCCAAGTAGAGCACTATATAGGAAGTAGGGTGCCATTTGGGGAACACCACATGTTCTTGCCTCAAAATTTTTTTTATCTAGTTGGCACGGGACCGCCAAATCGTGGCCATGAGCTGAAAAGCCCTAAGTTCCAGCGTACGGTGGCGACCCGACCGGCCCGGGAAGTAAACACGGGGGGGGGGGGTCCCGAACAACCTGGGTCACACCTACAAGCTCGGGAACTGGCCCAGTTGATAACCGTGTTCGTGGGGGCCGAGTGATCTATGGGGGGAAGTTCACCAACAACATGCTGGGGGCTGCCAGCACACCAGCGCCCCTGTGAGTAAGTCAAACCCAAATTTTCTAATATAAGAAACTGTAAAAAAAATATAGTCCCCCAGTCTTTCATATTTCAAAAGGGGTTCAAAAATTCATTAATATTCTAAGTTTTAATTACATAATATGTTAATTTTGTATTTACTTTAAATGTCTCATGTTTATTTTACATTAAATTGTTACTGTTTATTTCTTTAATATGTCTCCGTTTTAATTAAAGTCACATGTTAAAATTCCCTTAATTGTCTAATGTTTTTTACATTAATATTTACATGTTGTTTTTACATTTGTCTACTGTTGAATTACATTAATATGTCTACATGTTTTTCATTAATAGTCTACTTTTTTTAAACTTTAATTTTCCCCCCTACAGTTTTTACATTAATTTCTACTTTTTTGTTTTTACTTAATAGTCTACATTTTTTATTTCTTTAATATGTCTACATTTTAATTACATTAATATTTTACATGTTTTTTACAAATATGTCTACATTTTAATTACTTAATATTTACATGTTTTTTTTCATTAAATGTCTACATTTTCTTACATTAATATTTCATTTTTAAAATTACTTTAATATTTCCGGTTTTTTTTACAAATATGTCACTGTTGTATTTACTTTAAAATGTCTCAGTTGTTTTTACTTAATTTTACATGTTGTTTCTTTAAATTCACTTTTTTTAATTTTAACTTAATTGTTTCATTTTGTTTTTACATTAAATTTACTTTTTGTTTTTACATTAATTTTTACGTTTAAAATTTAAATATGTCTCATGTTGAAATTAATTATATGTTACATTTTTTAAATTACTTTATATTTCACATTTGTATTTACTTTAATTGTCTACATTTGTATTACTTAATGTCTACATGTTGGAATTAATTAATATGTCACATTTTATTTATTTTAATAGCCCTAATGTTCAAATTTACTTTAAATGTCTACATGTTGTATTTAATTAAATATGTCACAGTTTAATACATAAATTCCTTTTTGAAAAAATTACTTTAAAGTCTACATGTTTTTTTTTAATTAAATGTCAAACTGTTGAAATTACATTAATATGTCTACAGTTTAATTCATTAATATGTCACAGTTGGAAACATTAATATTTTACATTTTTTTTAAAATTATATGTCTACATTTGGGAATTACATTAATAGTTACATTTTTTTTTACATTAATTGCCCAATGTTGTTTTTTCATTAATGTTAATGTTGTTTTTACATTAAATGTTACGTTGATTTACATTAATAGTCAAATGTTTATTACATTAAATTCTAAGGTTTAATTACATTAATATTCACATGTTAATTACTTAATAGTTACTTTTGGAATTTACTTAATATGTCTACATTTGAAATTACATTAATATGTTCTTTTTTAAATTTAATAATATGTCCCTTTTAATTTAATTAATAGTCTCATTTTGGAATTACTTAATAGTCTCTGTTGTTTACATTAATATTCTACAGTTTTTTTACATTAAATGCACATGTTTTTTTACATTAATAGTCTACAGTTTAATTACATTAATTTCTACATGTTGTATTTACATTAATACTACATTTGATTTACATTAATGTCTCGTTTAATTACTTTAAATATGTTACTTTTTCTAATTTTCATTTAAGTCTACTGTTTTTTAATTTACTTTAAAATTTTTTCTACATTTTTAATTACTTAAAGTCAATGTTGAAATTTGACATTAATATGTCTACATGTTGTTTTTTTACTTTTTAATATTCTACTGTTTATTTCATTAATATGTCTACATTTGTAATTACATTAAATTCTACTTTGTATTAATTAATATGTCTACATGTTTTTTTACATTAATATGTCTAAGGGTTTGTAATTACTTTTATAATTCTACTGTTGTATTACATTAATATTCTTTTTTTAAATGACTTTAAATTGTCACATTTTCCCTGGATAAATCCCTGTTGAGTATAAGACAAAAACCATATTCCTAAATATTGTCTACGAATTAAAATTGGTCATTCATTCCCCCCCTTCCCCCGGGGAACTTTTTTCCCCAGGTCGTTGCTGTAAATGAGAATTGTTTTCAGGAAAACTTGTGAAAAAAGGATTAATTAAAAAATTTTTATAATGACAGAAAAAATTAGTGTTGGGGAAAATTTATTTGTTGAAAATTTGAGGGGTTTTGGTTTTGTGTGTGTGTGTTTGTGGTTTTGTGTTTTGGGGTTTGTGTGGTTTTTTGTGTTTTTTTTTTTGTGTTTTGTTTTGTGTGTTGTTGTGTTTTTGGTGTTTGTTTGTTTTGTGTTGTTGGTGTGTTTTGGGTTTTTGGGGGTTTTTGTGTTTTTTTTTTGGTTTTTGGGTTTTTTGTTTTTGTGTGTTTTGTGTGTGTGTGTGTGTGTTTGTGTTTTTGTGTGTTTTGTGTGTTTTGTGTGTTGTGTGTGTGTGTGTGTGTGTGTTTGTGTGTGTGTGTTGTGTGTGGTTGTTTTGTGTTTGTGGTGTGTGTGTGTGTGTGTTTGTGTGTGTGTGTGTGTTTGTTGTGTTGTGTGGTGGTGTTGTGTGTTGTTTGTGTGGGTGTGTGTGTGTTGTGTGTGTGTGTTTTGGTGTGTGTGTTTGTGTGTGTGTGTTGTGTGTGTGTGTGTTGTTTTTGTGTTGTGTGTTGTGTTGTTTGTGTTTTGTTTGTTTGTGTGTGTGTGGTGTTTGTGTGTGTTTGTTGTGTGTGTGGTTTTGTTTTGTGGGTTTGTGTTATTGTTGTGTGTTTTTGTGTGTGTGTTTGTTGTGTTTGTGTGTGTGTTGTTGTGTGTTGTGTTGCTGTTGTTGTCTGTGTGTTGTGTTGTGTTGTTTGTTGTGTTGTGTGTGTGTGTGTTTGTTGTTGTTTTGTGTGTGGTGTTTGTTGGTTGTGTGTTGTTGTTGTGTGTGTTTGTGTGTGTGTGTTTGTTGTGTGTGTTTGTGTGTGTTTGTGTGTTGGTGTGTGTTTGTGTGTGTGTTGTTGTGTGTTTTGTGTTGTTGTGTGTTGTGTTGTGTGTGTGTGTTGTGGTGTTGTGTTTTGTTGTTGTGTTTTGTTTTGTGTGGTTTTGTGTGTGTTTGTTTGTGTGTGTGGTGTTTTGTGTGTGTTGTGTGGTTGGTGTTTGTCCCTGCGGGGTGTTCTTGGCGGTCCTCTCCTGTTTACTGGTGTTGCCTGTTTGGGATCACTGTCAAATTGAGGGTAGAAGTGGGATCCCAGCAAGAAGCCTGGTTTATACACCACCATCTCCCAATACAGCCAGTGGATAGACAGAACCATGACCCAGTAGAAGCCTGGTTATCACACCACCATCTCCCACTACAGCCAGAAGTAACCAGACAGGACCATGACCCAGTAGAAGCCTGGTTATACACCACCATCTACCCACTACAGGCCAGTACCAGACGGACCATGACCCAGTAGAAGCCTGGTTATACACCACCATCTCCCACTACAGCCAGTACCAGACAGGACCAACAGAAGCAGGTTATGTCCCACATGTCCCCGTTTTCCACATGTAGTGCACTTCTTTTGACCAGGACTCATAGGACCATGACCTAGTAATACATTAAAACAACATTCATTATATTATATCACTTTATGAAACATATAATCATACCTTATGTAAAAATCACCCCAATAAACCATTCACATGAATCAATAAAGTATGTTGTAGTTTTGGGTCTATGTTTCATTCTAAGATATTTGGGGCAAATAGACTATGAAAAGATAAAACATTTTGTGACATTCAAATGATACATACATTATGGTTCTATTATTACCCTATCAGTGATGACATTCTGGTTGTATTATAACCCTATCAGTGATGACATTCTGGTTCTATTATTACCCTATCAGTGATGACATTCTGGTTGTATTATAACCCTATCAGTGATGACATTCTGGTTCTATTATTACCCTATCAGTGATGACATTCTGGTTGTATTATAACCCTATCAGTGATGACATTCTGGTTCTATTATTACCCTATCAGTGATGACATTCTGGTTGTATTATAACCCTATCAGTGATGACATTCTGGTTCTATTATTACCCTATCAGTGATGACATTCTGGTTCTATTATTACCCTATCAGTGATGACATTCTGGTTCTATTATTACCCTATCAGTGATGACATTCTGGTTCTATTATTACCCTATCAGTGATGACATTCTGGTTGTATTATAAACCCTATCAGTGATGACATTCTGGTTCTATTATACCCTATCAGTGATGACATTCTGGTTCTATTATTTACCCTATCAGTGATGACATTCTGGTTCTATTATTACCCTATCAGTGATGACATTCTGGTTCTATTATTACCCTATCAGTGATTGTGGAGGAAGAAAGCCATACAAGAAGAGATATTTATGAATTAAAGCAGTATAATTTTTATATCATACTAATTCCACAGAGTTAGGAAGGTCATGGTCCCAGCTTTACTGTGTCGTTACTGTAAATATCTTAGCATGTTGCAATAGTTAACTCCAAATGACAAAACAAATAGGTTCCAGTTGAACAATGTTTACTTCACAGTGTCAGCACAGTACATAGAGGCCATTCCACTCCGCCCCGGTTGAAAAATGACAGTAATTTCTGTGCAGATGCACTAATAAGAGAGGGACACCAGCATAAAAAAGAAGTGTAGGGTTACTTAAAACATGAACTTAAAGGACAACTCCACCACTTGTCTCGAACACCAAACCAGTGTCTACACATCTCCTCGCAGACCGTGTGTGTGTGTATCGGACCAAACGACAGACAGACATGGCAGAAGTCGCACCAGCACCCGCCGCCGCCGCACCGGCCAAGGCACCCAAGAAGAAGGCAGCAGCCAAGGCCAAGAAAGCGGGACCCAGCGTAGGCGAGCTCATCGTCAAGGCTGTGACCGCCTCCAAGGAGAGGAGCGGCGTGTCCCTGGCCGCACTCAAGAAGACGCTGGCGGCAGGCGGCTACGACGTGGAGAAGAACAACTCCCGCGTCAAGATCGCAGTCAAGAGCCTCGTCACCAAGGGCACCCTGGTCCAGACCAAGGGCACCGGTGCATCCGGCTCCTTCAAGCTCAACAAGAAAGCCGTCGAGGCGAAGAAGCCCGCCAAGAAAGCCGCAGTCCCCAAAGTAAAGAAGGTGGCCGCCAAGAAGGCCGTCGCCGCAAAGAAGTCCCCCAAGAAGGCCAAGAAGCCCGCTACACCCAAAAAGGCAGCCAAGAGCCCCAATATGGCTACAAAGGCAGCCAAGCCCAAAGCCACCAAGCCCAAGGCAGCCAAGGCCAAGAAGGCAGCCCCCAAGAAGAAGTAAACCTATGTGGTCCTCTGTAGCTCAGCTGGTAGAGCACGGCGCTTGTAACGCCAAGGTAGTGGGTTCGATCCCCGGGACCACCCATACACAAAAAAGAAAAATGTATGCACGCATGACTGTAAGTCGCTTTGGATAAAAGCGTCTGCTAAATGGCATATTATTATTATGTGACTCATTTCAGAAAACTAGCCTTATGTCGTGTGTCACTACTTCACAGGAGATACCATTTGAATATCAACTTCTTTTTTTTATCAACATGCGTTTTTGGCCAGAAATGCTTTCTGGAACATGTGAACTTTCCTGTGCCTTAATAACAAATGTGTATGCCATCTGTAAATACGAATACAATTGTTAAATTACGAGCCTAGTTGGTTTAGCCACAGAAAAAGATAGCAACCTTCCCGCTAGCCATGATTGGCTGAGATAATGAGTGGGCTCGACATGCCGAGAGATCAGTTCGGATTGGTCTGCCATGTAGCTCGCTTCTGTCTATGACATCAGCTGGTCAGTGTAGATAGTAGTAGTAGATCATCCTTTGCTGGTCAGTATGTGTAGATAGTAGTAGTAGATCATCCTTTGCTGGTCAGTATGTGTAGATAGTAGTAGTAGATCATCCTTTGCTGGTCAGTATGTGTAGATAGTAGTAGTAGATCATCCTTTGCTGGTCAGTATGTGTAGATAGTAGTAGTAGATCATCCTTTGCTGGTCAGTATGTGTAGATAGTAGTAGTAGATCATCCTTTGCTGGTCAGTATGTGTAGATAGTAGTAGTAGATCATCCTTTGCTGGTCAGTATTTTTTATTAAAGATATACTGTATAGATCTGCGGTTCTATTGTGGAGTAAAAATAGGAAAATTTCTTCCTGTGCATAACGTATTAAGTATAAATGGAGTCAAACTGCAAGAGTTCTAGCCATGAGGAATCATAGTCCCACATTAC